GTGAATTACTTACAGGTGCACAACCGGTTGGACCTAATTCTTTACTTACATTAACAGAAGATCCAGAAATAATACCTGATGAAAAAATTGATGCTGGTGAAGGATTTTATAATCCACAATCTCGTTTTATAGTAGATAGAAAAACACCTTTAGTTCATAACCGCTTCGTATGTGACCCTAAAGAAGTAAAGTGGATTGAAAAACAGTGTCGTGTAAGTGATGATTTGGAGTTGGTACTACCTGATGAGGAGGACTGTGAAAAAATACTTAGATTAAATAGAAGGGAACTGGCTATAATCAATTCGGAATATGAATGCCCATGTGAAGCCGATAAGAAGCCGATGACTAGAGTTAAACACGAGGATGAACACTCTTGGTCTACTATTTCGCCTTCTAGTATTTGTGATGAAGATGTCAGAATTAGTGATATTATGTCGAAATCTAAGTTTAGACAATTCATGAGCAAGTTCAGTGTTATGGATGTTAGTAGCCATTCATTAATAGATCAGTTAATGTAGTAGACAATTATATATTAAAATCTATTTTGTAATGGACATTGAATATATTTTATAAAAAAACAAATTTATATTGATAATAAATGGAGCAAAATTTCTTACTATTTTTACTAACCATTTTCATCACATAGTATCGGTATTCACAAATTTTTCCTTTCTCCTATATTTAAATTCTAAGAAAATTTATATCTTGCGTTTGCAGTGAGCTGTCAGTTAGAAGCAGAGCGAGAACTATTACAACAGATTTTAGATGTATGTATTAAAAAGTTGTATGAATCTGTACTATCTTCTCTGGTCTCCAATTCCAGGGGCTTGTATTATTGATTGTTTATTCACATTTATATGCTTATGAGGATTAGAATTTTACACTCGAAAACACTAAGTATTTAATTAATTTCTTCCCCTTCATAGCACAGTGTTGTTCATTTTTTACTAAAACATCAATATTTTAAAGTAACCGTGACGTCCTGAAATCATTATTCACCCTCAGCCGTTTCTATTGAAATCTGTTACTTATAGATATCTAAATGGAAATGTTGAAAATACAATTTCATTGATATGTTGGTTTCATTGCATTAGCGATGACATATTTCAACAATATCTGAACGAGTCAGTATTTCAATATCTATCAACATATATATCAATGTGTATATCAATATCAATATCAATATTTATATTTTGAGCCTTGGCAACACTGATTGTTATCAGATGTCGTCTGACGTTTCCACACATACGAAAGTTTGACATTATTTAACATAACCTACCTTAGACTTTTTGTCAAAAGAACGTTATTTGTGTTATTACAGTGATTATTTACAATGTAAATTGAGTGTTTGCTAAAAAATGAAATTAATGTGAGAAAGTTTTCGTGCGATGATTTATTATGACTTTCTACGTAACTTATCAACACAAGAGTATATCAATCAACTTACTTCCACATTTGGCGATGGAGCTCCATCCTTTGCCACTGTGAAACGCTGGAATTTGTATAATGATTTTAATCGTGGCCGCAGTTCGTTCATTGAAGAAATTCGTCAGTCAGTGAAGGTCGTCCAAAATCAGTTGTTCAGTTGTTGTGCCAAAAAACATTGATGCTGTGCAAAAACTGAAAACGAAAGTAGCATACTCAATCAAGACAATGGGAGTGATCAATCATTTCGTCTAACAACCGTCTATTTGAACATTCAAAAATGAACTTAATGGGTTATCAAGTTGATGACCTGATTTCGTACTGATTTCGGTTCCGATTTGGCATCCAATGATTTCTTTTTGTTCCGGAACGTCAAGAATAAATTGCGTTGACAACGATTTTTGTGGACAACGGCGAAAGAAGCCGTTGTGTTGTTTTCACATCATTATATTTTAATGTACATATCTATTAACCATTATATATTAACACAAACGCTCTAAATAAGAACAACTACATATTCTTTACTAGTATATTGTTTAAGAAATTCAGTTAGCTAGTCACAATTTTTGGTATCCTGGTATTCAATTATCGATTTTAATAGTCTATTTCTACTTTCTAATTAGCAACTATTGCCCTGATCATGAAAAAGAATAAAACATACTATTGATAAACTATACTCGTTTGTATGTGTGAAATTATATTTTTAAATTTAAGGACTGCTGAAGTAAATCCAAGTTTTAACTGTCAAGTTTTAAGTCCATTATAATATAGTAAATTAGATAAGCCCCCAGCCATTATAGAGTAAAAGTGCGTAATAGCACTAACTCAAGAAGAAGAAGAAGAAGAATATAGTTAATGTTTACTATATTTCTATTTACATATGAATGTATTTTTTCTTTTGTTAAAATATTTAATTTAATATTTGTGCGTAATGGGAAAAAAAATATTCCAACGCTATTCGAAACTGTTCTTTACTTTAAAGTTTTATTCCTGGAATATCTTGTGAAAATAGGAATATCAGTACATTGTACGCCAAGGTGCAATATGAGTTCCCAAATAGCATGGGCAGAAATGCATTTAGCACTAGTTACGTTATTTTGAAAGAATGGAACCTAATATATTTAATAAAACATGAAATTCATGAATAGAATCAAGACTTTAAGAGTGGCCATTACAACAAAATGGGGTTATCTTGTGTATTTAAGCTGTTTGGCTGTATGGCTGTACGTTTAAAAGTCATTTAAGTAATGATGCCAAATTGTTAACTATGTTTCAAATTATGTATTTATATATGTATGACTGTTTCTGTGTAGAATTATATATCCTTCCGAGCAAGTCAACAATCAGAACATATTTTACCCCTGTTGTAACCATTGTAAAATGACGTTGAGCACATTGTTATCACTTGCAGTAAAGTATCTACATATGTAGATATACTGAACATGTCCTTATGTATACGTGTATGTAGATATAAATATTGAAGAAATCGATTAATCTAGAAATAGAGAACAAAACATTTGTCAATCCTAATGTAATTTATTTCAGGAAAATATTAACAGTCGATATATATGTATATATATATATTCATATTTTTTATTTTTTTTTTTTTTTTTTTTGCAGTAGGTGGAAAGCTTCGAAAGCCACAGTGTGAGACTTGAACCCACTAAAACCACCTCTTAGGAATGAATGAAGAAGATTTCCACAGCAATGTGGAAACTTCATTCCAGTAATCATGGGACAGAGGAATGAGAAAATAGACTTAATACCTAGTGAACTAGATTCATCTAAGTCAGAAAGCAAGGGCATAAACTAGGTAGGATGGATGATATAGAAGGGGGAGGGGTTACGGCTAACTAGCGGGGATGGAATCAACAATATACTTTGTGACTGGGGTCACGAAATCCGCGGTTATATAAGAGGATAGTGGAGAGGTTACGGTCCACTTCGTCGAAGTAGTGAGTCAGGTATTGGGGGGGTTTATAGCGCAAAGCTAGAACAAAGTCTTCTGAGAGAGTGGAAGGAATGGAAACGTCGGGGGGAAGGTCATGGAGCCGGGTGAGATACCTACGGGCGAGTGACAGAAGATACTCTTCAACACGAGTGATCTTGGCATTGTTATAGAGAGTTGATATGGAAAAGTGTTTGCCATTAGGCTTGCGCTTATAATTAGTGCAATCGCGAAGAAGTTAATATATACATATATATATATACATATATGTATATTAAATATTAATAAAATATGTAGATACATACATATATATATCAAATTGTCTTAAATAAGAAATTTTTATTTTTTTATTACAAGAACAATAAATTCTCACATATTGTTTTGTTGACATTCACAACTCATCTTCGGTGCTATTTTTGATTCCTGCACTCTCTGCTCTGTTCTCTTAAAATCACAAACAAAACAGAAACTCTTTTTTACAATAAAAAACAAGTAACTCAGAAATAAGCAAATCAATTCCAATTACCGTTCAATATGTCCAACACTGTAAGTAAAGTCATTGTAAACATTTCTGCAATGAAAATAAGCAAGGAAAATAGTCAAAAATCGAACTTACCTTTAGCAACACCCCGCGAACCGCCATCCAAAAGTTGAAGTTAAAAAACCGTTGTTTTAATGAGCAATGCCGCAAAAGTGCCGGGAATAAGAAAAATTCAAGATCACCACCAGCTCTGCACTCTCCCTGTTGCATTTGCAAATAATGCACATAATAATCAGTTCTCGTTGGATGCGAAGAATGTTCAGTTATCTCGTGGAATTGATGCTAAGAAAAATTATTTCATAAAAACTTTTTTGGTGTTTTGTGAAATTAGTTTCAATGAATTAATCGGGAATTTTATTTAAAATTATTATTGGCGTGGTTAGTAAATTGTGTAAATAATTTACCGCGGTCTTGTTAGTGATTTAGGCTTAAGGATATTCAGTGAAATCCGTTGTGAAAAAGATTTTATATTTGAGAACAACAACTCCAGTGGACCATCAGGTCATGGAGATCATGGATGAAGTTCCATTACATAAAGAAGAAAGGAAGAGTTCATCTTTTCAGATGTGTTGTCTGGTTCAATTTTAATAAAAGAAATGTATTAAAAGTTATGAAATCTCGATTCAAAAGCAAGAGTGGTAAGTCCAGTAAAAATTATTCCGCTTAAACAGATTTTCCATAAAAACAGAAAAACATTATTTGAGTTACCATTTCTATTTAATATTTTTCAACTCAGTTTAATTTATAGTAAAAATTATAAAAAAAACTTAAGAAATATATTGTGTATTAAAGAGTCCAAATTAAAGACACTATAATCTCTAGAGTCTTATGACTAATTTATATATGAACCTATTTTATTCTAAGTAATTATGCATTTGTTGTGTCAAAATTATAAATATACAAAATAAAAATGTTACAAGCTGAATACTGACTAATTCAATGAAAAACACAATTTATCGATATCAGAAAGCACAGACCTTAGGAGTCCTATAAGGTACTGGTAAAGGTTATACCTAAAACATCGAACTAGAAAACTATTTTCATATTAGATATTAACAAAATATTATAATGAACAGAAAAATATGAATAAAAAATTGCTTTGTTTTTAATAAAACTTTTCTGAGAATTATAAGAAAGTTAAACTATTTTTCACAACAAATCACCATTCCAAATTAAAAACAATTCAACTGAGTTCGAGTCATTAAAAGAATACTCCTATATACTTAATACAAGTATTTACCAATAAACATTTAAATGCTTCATACCAACTTCTCCTTTGGCTTTGTAAAATGTAGAAACTTCAGCCTACGTATTATATGAGTCTAAGAGTCCTCTGCAGTCAACAAATATCAGCTCTAAACACATACCGTTTTTCTTATGAACATCTAACACAATTACTTTGGTGACAAAATATATCTTTAAAAGAGAGGTTTGTGCGACTAAATATTTATAATAATGTTAGTAACATAGTTATGACAGAAGCAATTCATGTTAGAGTTACTCACAGAAGAAATGATTGGGTCTGTTAAACAACTGCATTTATACTTCTGCCCTTTGTTACCCTTTTTCAGTTCCGTACTGAATTCAATATAAAATTTGCAATAAAAAGATATATTCAAAAGGAATAAATAAGTGCTTGGAAATCACATTTCAGTAAATGC